TGTGAAAGTAGAGGGACAAGCAAAGGGTCAGACTGAGCTTATTAAAATACAATGCTTCTAAGTGTTTAACCCTTTGTTAGGACAGTGTTCATATCTAGTTTAAAACTGTAAAGGGTTAATTAGAGTAAACACAACTTCCCACAGCCCCCTCCTTAACATTACATAGTTACTTTACGTAGTTAGGTAGGATTTTCTTTAAGTATAAAGCACTTACAAATGTATGCAGCAATTTATAAGTTCTGCAATGTGAGTGGGAACATTTAACAAGCCTAAAACTTGTCGACAGACCATTCATTTCAAGTAAAATCTCCCATTGGGATTAAATTGTGTATTCAACGCACTCTGCTAGGGAATTGAACTTGCAAGAATATTTGGCTACTCCAGAAAGAAGACTCATGTGATTACCAAATAATTTTTGGAAGGGAAGCACCCTGCAAGTAGGCATTCACAGCAATATCTAAAGTTGGTGGAAAGGTCTTTTTAATAATTTTGCATACTATTCCATGTTATGGTTGTATTTATGGATGCACCAACATTTCGTCTGCCGAAAATGACACTTTGGTCAAAATGCCCAAATTGCCATTTCTTGGCCAAAATTGCGGTGTATATCCAGTTTCTCTCCTCCCTGCTGGGCGCTGCTCTCTATCCCCTCTGACACAGAGCAGGGTGGTAGCGGGTATGAAAAAAACTGCCCGGAGGCCAGGCTGGGCCCATCTTTTTCGCCCCCTCCCTCGGCCTCCTGGGATGGGCAGAGACTAAGGGTTGGAGAGTGACTGAGGAGACGGCTGTCGGTGTCAAAGGAGACCGAGCTCTCCTCCCACATCGGCACCTGTGACAGGCAGGTCAGGACGGAGAGCGGGTACAAACACTTTGCAATCAGCTGATTGCTGAGTGTAAATTATTGAGGACATAGTATGCTTGCTGTAGCTAATGGTTCCTTCAGGATCTCTTCTGATCTGCTGAAACTACTGTATATTGAAAAGCCATCTATTATTTTTTTGTTCAAAAAGAGCCACACTGAATGCTTCCTCCATGGAACAGCAAACACCTTGCAAAGCTCACCAGAATTAAAAACTCACTTTTTTGAAGTTAATCAACATTTGATTGACTTTTTTTTATAGGGTAGGTGTTTCATTGAGGTGTGCCTGCTTGAACACAAGATATCTTAGATGCAGAATAGGATTCCAATATCGCATCCCACACCTACATGTAGACCAGGGGTGCCCATTAGGTAGATCGTGATCTACCAGTAGCTCTCAAAGCTGATGCTGGTAGATCACAAAGGGTGTGAATGGCGGCCCCTTTATTCCATTTTGGTATATTTATTTAGCTGTGCACACATGGTTACCTATTAGCCTGAGTCTGCTGAGCCAAGCTCCCTGGCACCTTTCTGGTGGTTGATGTGCTATGTATTACATCAAAGAATATTAGTTTCCGCAGCCTGTTGCAAAATACAGCAAGGTGAGCCAGGAGAGAGAGCGAGGGGAGACAGCCAGCTGAGAGAGGGAGGAAAGATGGCCAGGAAAGGGAGCAGGAAGAGACAGCCAGGAGAAAAAACAAGGAATGACAGGCGGGAGAGACGGCCAAGAGAGCGAGGGGAGACAGCCAAGAGAGCGAGGGGAGACAGCCAGGAGAGAAAGAGCAAGAGTTTTTTTTTTTCGTTGGTAGATCTCATGTATCTCGTCGTTTGAAAAGGTAGATCTTAACACAAAAATTGTGGGCACCCCTGTTGTAGACTATCTCTTCATTCCTGAGGAATCTCGTTGCCCACATGATCGTCAAGGACCAGTTCTTGCTGTCCTTGTATGCCAGGGTGTGTTATGATTTATCCTTACTCCTCCTGCCTACTTATTTTTTTTTTTACTATAGGTGTTGTTGATCATTCCACCCTCTACTAGGACTCCAGGTTATTACTCTTTTTTGGTTTTCCTAGCTTTAAAGTCTTTTTCCTCCTTTCTGTTTGGATTGGCTATATGTTACTAACTACTTGTCTATGGTAACAGCCTTCTGATTCTTGACCTCCTAAAGTTACCTCTTTTAGGAGTTCTACTTAAGCCTCTGGCTGTTGGTCTTTTTTTCTAGACAAACATTTTCTGTTCATGCTTCTTTCCCAGAAGTCAATGGGTTATATACTAGGTGTAAGCCTTCACTGTATTAACATTGCTTGTTGACCACCTTAGCATGTGATTTCTGTATCTGAAAATTATATATATGTGTGTATATGTATATGTATATGTATATGTATATATATAAATATAATTTTCCCCCTCCACTGTTCACTGTTTTTTCCTTATAGTGGATGATTTGGTTGTCATCCACCTTGTTGAGGCTAATATTTTTTTTCAGGTAGAAGTTTCCCCTTACTAGTGATTACCTGTCTTGGTCTGGAGCACCAGGTTGACCTTTGATGCTACTCACTGCTCCAAAGACCTAACATCATGCGCCCGCCGAATAATGGCATTGCCATATTTGATTGAACCTGGTACTTCTAGCCTTCGTTTGGTGTTGATCCCTTTAGATACTTTTGTTCTATGAATTCCACAGCCCTTTGAATCTCTCAGGGACTTGTTTTCAACCCCTCACTTGGACTGCTTTTTTGGACATTCCATTTATCCAAGAATTACTAAAGTCCTGTGTCCATCAATGGGTGATTTTTGGACTTGCATAGTTACAAAGTATTGAATATTACGGTCCCTGATGAAATCATCCAATCGCCTCTTGAACGATTCAACACTTTCAGCATATGGCAGCGAGTTCCATACCCTGACTGATCTAACTGAGCAGAAACCCCTTCGCCCCTTGTGCTGAAATTTTTTTCCCCACCAATTGTAGGTGGTGGCCTTGCTGTAAAAGTCATTAGAGGACGTGGGCCTGTGCCTCTCAATGTCCTTGGCCTCATGTGCTGTTAACTTACAAAACCGAGGCTTTACAGTGGGGTTACACAGGTGTTGGCCTAAAATTTTATTTTATTTTTTTGCCTGTGTCACAACCGCCTGATTACAGCAGTATAACCCATTTGCCTAAGAATGACTGAGTCCTGTGTCTCTTAACGGGCTGACCGAAAAATGTTGTTGCAAGTACAAATATCCCCTTTTTTTGTGTGTGTGTTTTGCCAGACTGCAGATGGTGTCTTAATCCTGTGCTTTCTCTGACATCTTCATCTATATTCAAGCGCTTGAACCTTCTGCCATTTGGCCCAGTTCTGGGAGGTTACTTTTTAATTGAAAAATTTGTCTTCATGATGTAGCATCTAAACACACACTTACCCTTCTTTGTTTCAGTGGTAGCTGAATTTAAATTGGATTGATGCATTTTCTTTCAGAGGAACGGAAAAGGGAAATGCAAACCGTTTTTTTTGGAATTCAAAGGTCCTGAATTGGTGTTTGCATAACACAATTTGTATTTAAAAGAAGTTCATGTAGTGTTCTGGCTTTGACATGCAAATGGTGTTGAAAATTCAATTTGAGTAACTTTGATGAGATTGCTGTGCTTTGCGTAATTTCTTCATGTTGCCTGTACATTTTTAGAGCAGTTATGTCAGATGCAAGGCAGATAGATATACCTGTGTGTGTGTGTGTGTGTGTGTGTTTTTTATATATCTATATCTATATCTATATCTATATCTATATCTATATCCTCATGCATGTAGGCTCTGTTCATGTTGGAAGAAAACAAAGCCTGATTTCATTTCTTTTGAAAACCGAATCAAGTTTTTCAGGAAATGTGTCTCTTTATAGGTGGCTTTTGTATTCTGCTAGCACCACCACTAAGGTCTCATTCACACCTAGGCGTATTGCATATGCACGTCTTACCGCGGTTTGCGGTAAAGTCGCGTGACCCCGAAGGCTACTTGGGCTGTATCCCAATGGAAACGCGCAACAAAACGGCCCAAAGTAGTACATGTACCGCTTTGTAGCGCGTTAGGGATGGGCGGAAATATGCCAAGGTGGGAACGAGACCATTGAATACAATGGGATTTATATTTTTGAGCGTTTTGGACAGCGTTCGTCAAGCGTAGAACACGCTACAAAACGTTCAGGTGTGAACGAGGGCTAAAACCTTTTTTTAAAAATCACAAATTGAAATAACTTTTTTTATTTCTTATAAGATGATAGGAAGTCATGCCAGTAATTACTGGTTTCTCCTGGTCCACAACTGCTGCTCTCTTCTTTTATGGCTTTGCTATTAACATTTAGGGCCCATTTAAACCTTGGTGTCCTGGTTTATGTCAACGTGCTTTTCAGGTGCCCACATTTAATGGGTTGGCAATGTAGCACAATGTCCTGAAAAATGGACACTCCATTTTTGAAAATGCAGCACACCAGTGCACAGTAGTGCATTACCTATCTTTTGTGGTGTGCTGCAATGCATGATCGTTAGAGTTGCATTGCCTTAGTATATTGGGGTGCCATTCAAAATGAATGGCAACACAACGCTAGCATTACTGTAACGCATTGTAACATTTTTTCTTTCTTTAAAGTGCACCCTTGTCCATAACCTTCTATATTCCTTCTATAGCCATCATATGGCTGTGTGAGCTTCCTTCTGCTACAGTTGCGTGGTAACGTTATGTAATGTTCTTAAATGTGTAATCTATACTTATAAATAATCAAATAATAATCAAAATCTGGAGCAGTTGCCCAGGGCAACCAATCAGCTTCTACAGTTCAGTTAAGATTTTAAGATGAGAGAGAAGCTGATTGTTCGCCGTGCACAGCTGCTCCAGATTGTGTCTGCTCCAGTTTTAAATAAATTCCCCTCAGTGTGTCTATAGGTTGGACTCGATGGCCTTGTGTTTTTTTCAACCTGACTAACTATGTAACTGTGTCCTGTTTTGAGTTATTGTACCTGTAGGACTTTTTTCCATTCTATGTTATTTGGTCATGAACCTGCTTTTATTGCAATATGGATTCAATGCATAGGCAGTGGAATTTGTGAACCTAGAAATGGGAATTTGTAGACTTCCTTGTTTTAATCATTTGCACTTCTTCCCTTTTCAGAACGAAGACAGTCCCAGCCCAAAAAGACAGCGATTATCTAATTCGGTTTTTGATTACACAAACCCATCTCCTGCACCATCACCGCCAATGCGACCATGGGAGATGACGTCAAATAGGCGGCCTCCTTCGGCTCGACCCAATCAGCACCACTTCTCAGGGGAAAGATGTAACACTCCTGCTCGGAACAGAAGGAGGTAAACAAATGTCTCTGCTGTATGATGCACTCTTCCTCCTTTTGCTTAAAAAAAAAAAAGAGGGGGTTTGGGTTTGGAGGATCAATTTGGGTCAATTCACCAGCTGAAGCCCCTTTTAAAAGGAACATCAGTCATTTCACAGTCTATTTAGGAGTCTATTTTTTTAAAAAAAGAGTCCTAAATAGACTGTGAGATGACTGATGTTCCTTTTAAGGGCTTCAGCTGGTAAATTGACCCAAATTGATCACACAACCCCCCCCCCCCCGCTTTTTTTTTTTTTTTTTTTTTTTTTTACTTCCACCGCTCCAAGCTTGCTCCTGTGATGGACTACAACCTCAATACAAACTAG